TAATAAGAAGATATTGACGACTTGCTCTTTCTCTTTGATGTCTTTGTTCTGTGTCTGGGTGTAATTTATCTAATATATATTTAGATAAATGTAGATACGTATATTAGCAGTCTGGTTACCATAGTACAGATTCTGCTTTTGGTCCTTTTCGGTACCCCTGGCAACGTGTTTGCAAAACTTCACAACGGTGGATTCAGAAGTTAAGACGTGAAAGCATAATACTCACTTCCGCCTTTATATTATTAAGGTTATAAGCTAGGTTCACACTATGTATTAGTTATGAATGTATTACTTTCAATTTGTTCCACTATTGGAGACAAATAAAGTAAAACGGCTATAACGTCATACAAGTGAAAAGTGAAAGGCACAACAATATCTTATAGTTATCTATGTCCTAAATTCAGATAACACTAATGTACGTGAATTTAAAATTAAATTCTGTGATATTATATGTATATTTATTATATTGTTTTATAATATGTACAAGCTTATAAGTGTTAGTTTTGGTGTCACGTTCTGGCGATTAAATGTAGATAAGTCGCGTTCAGAACAATCATGAAAAAATTTCGTGGTACATATTTTTTTAAAGAGACGGTTGGTCTATTACTTTTCACGGACACACCATCATATATAACTCGAGTAAGGAACTTTGGAGGTTAGTTAAAAAGGCAAATGGTTTTTTAATATGGATTTCACTTTTTACTAACTTTCTACTAAAGAACCACTTTGGAGCTCACTGAGTCTCATATTAATTTGGGTTCAATGACTGAGTCTCTTTTACTAAAGGACGTAGGTTGTTAGTCAGCATGCCTACTTCGGAACTTGCAAATAACTACTTAATTAAATAGAACATAGTTAATAATATAATAGAAAACAATGGCTACACCGGAGTAAATCTAACTGCACTTAACATAATGAGTCATGTAATATTATCATTGAAGCTAGATAAACCATGACTTACGCAATCCTCTGAAATACCAAGTAAACTGTGACAACAATTATTATTCCTGCTTTTCTATAACAAAACGTTCTTTTATTATGTAGGAGTATATTATTGTCTTGCATATATTACCTACCTACGTACAAGTACGCAACCAACATATTATTATAAGTCATTTAATACCACTGTGGTCTTAATAATCACATACATGTACCCAAGTAGCTGAGGATATAATTTAATATACATATTATACTCGTATTAAATGGTGTTTGTTTGAAATGACTGAGAATTAATTTTCGGCTAAATTTGTCTTACGGAGAAATAAGAACATAAATAAATGTATATTTATCCATCAGTTTTTTTTGTAGGTGGCGCTAGCTTTAGTTTTAAGCCCGTCTGGTGAGGGCAGACTAGTCTATGTTCGGGCTTGCAATAGGGATATGAATATATTTATGTGACTCTTATCACCTTTCACTTAGATCATCAGGGTCATCTTATGTCTGTAGTTCTAGTGTCTTGTTTTTATTTTATTTTATATTCTCTTGACTTTTGAAATTGCACTTTAACAAGGCCAACTCAATAAACATTAATTATATTTGAGTTTGAGTATGAGAGTTTGTGTGTTGAGTTCTTCATACCTATTTCGAACACTTAGCGGAAACAGAAGATAGGTATTTTAAATGTGTACGTCATATTTTAGGTAGATGTATCTTAAAATTACGTTGATTCTTTTATTTTTTTATGTCTATAACATATGGATAGTAAATTTTGAGAATTTACAAAAAAAACATATTAACAAACTCAAAAATCCTTTAAAAAAAGTTGAACCGACTTCAAACAACACTGACAAAGAGCACTAAAAATAAAAAAAATAATTACAAATCTAAGTAAAAAAACTACAATAAGTACCCTCAATACAACATGTAACATTATAATAGCAACAGTCACTTCTAGACTGTTTGAAGTCGGTGCCATGCGTTAACAAAGATACCAAAAAAAAACAGACGAATGGATACCCTCGTCTTTTGTATTTTTGAATTCGGTTAAAATAGAACGAATTCTCATCTCGAACAGTTGAATGTTACCTTATAAAATCCAGCTAAGTCCGAAACCCTTAATAAATCAATGTCTAATTCTTTATTTTGTCCCCACGTTTGTTGAAGTCCGACTTACTGAAATTATATTTATTTTTATTATATATAATTATATTTAATTTTATATTTATTTTAGTAAAATACATTTGTGGTCATAAATTGACATAATTGATTGATTGATGATAATTGATGTTATTAACATTGACTGTACATTTAAAGTGAGAAACATACATAACAACCTATTTTATAATTACATTAACAAAATAAAACTGATATATTTGGCAGACGAAGACTTGACAGGGCTTTTTGTAAGCATACCTGTACAAACTTTTACGTAATATTCATTTTAGTAAAGTAAAAAAAAACTCAAGTACTGACATCCTGTTCAAATTTTTTACAACAAATTTATTTACTATAAATTAGTGTTCAGCCATGTTTTTTTTTGTGTTATAAATAAACATAAAATATATATTATCATTATCAGCACCATGGTGATATTGTTTATACAAATCATTGTATATTATTTTATATTCTGTAATATATTACATAATATAAAATATTATTATAATGGAACTGTTGGTTTACTTGCTAGGTATACAGCGGTGCTCATTTGTTATCACTTCCACCACGCTCCATAAATAGTATCTCAGGTTTAAAAACATAAAATTTTGTGCAAAGGTTCCTGATTGTAATAACAGAGAATTTTCAGGTATAGATACCATTTAAAAATACAGAAAAAAAAAATGATAGCCAAATTGGTTTGTTGTCCTGTAAAGATAATAAGGTCAATAAAAAAAGACGTATTTGACATTGTAGTCACAAGCAAAAACAAGTGTAAATTCAGTTGTTGACATATAACGTAAAAATATATAAAATGTTGATATGTTAATTCTAAACGGGGTGCATGAAAAAGCCTCCCCGCGGCGCTTCTGGAAGCAGCTAGACACGGTAACACAGTGACTTATCCTCTCACCACAATCGTTCAAACACCTACCTGTCCCCCTCGTCCACAAACCCTAAATTAGGGGTGTTCACCCGTTTCTACCATCAAGAAGATTTCTCAACTTTTTCGGTACATGTACCTTACATGTACAAAAATTTTGCTTTTTTTAGCTGGATCGTCAACTGGTTCACTTTCCATAAAGTATAAAGAAAGACACGGACGAGTAACACCTTTATGTTCAACTGGATATACAGGAAAACATTGCACTAATTCCTGTTTCGTTTGATAGTATTATCCTTCTTATGTAGGGTTCGCAAAGGCTGAATATAGTAGTGAGGAATACATAAATGTGGTCGATAAGTAGCGGTGCAGGTGTAATGCGACTGTGCCACGTACAGGTGTTTGTCGTGACATCGCCAACAGCTGATAACGCGGCCAAGTTCATTACCGTGCCGTGCAAATCGATTAGTCGTGGTGATGCCCCCATCGGCTTTCCAATACATTTGCAATGTTTTTCTTAGTTGTTGCCTGGCGGCAATATACTTAGCAGTAACTATTTGTACTATAGGTACATACAAAAATCCTTATATTTATCCCGTTTTAGTAGACATATAATAATGTTTGCCCGAAACAGTTTCACAAAACTTATTGACTTCGTAGCCGGTAAAGTATGACGTAATCACGAATGTGGTGACTGCCGCCTAATTTCAGTGTAAAGAAAGTAAAAGAGTCTTTCATCATAGCGGTAGGTAGACATTGGCTCTCACTCGCACACTCCGTATGTCCGGTTTTATCCGCAAATTGGTCTCATCGACCGCTAACTGGGAAGATTTGGCTCACACGATGCCTGTGTTGGAAGTTGCTAACGGGTTTATAATGAATACTATTTACAACTAACGTCTATGTTTGGAAAATACATTAATTCTTATTTCATCTGTTCTCACAAACATTTATAAATTTAATATGCGTTATAGTTTTCAAACTACGTCATATTATTATTGCCTTGATCGATTTCTTCCTGAACTATATTATTAACTGCCTTATTTGGTAGTGTTTAATCTCTGGGTTTAATTACGTCGTAATCTAAATCAATTAATTATCTTTAATATAAAAATAATAGAATAGAATATTGTTTATTGTACGCCAATTACAATATGTTAGATGAATATTACAGACGGATATGTAGAATGCGCGGCGGATGGACAAATCGACAGTAGATGAGAAGAAACAATGAGTAATCTAGGTGTATTGAAGCTATAGTACTGTAAAAATAAATATATAAATTATATTTAACTACACACACACACACACACACACACACACACACACACGCGCACACACACACACACACACACACACACACACACACACACACACACACACACACACACACACATATATACATCATCAACAACAGCTTTTAACAGTCCACTGCTGGACATAGGCCTCTGATTAGAAAGTAAGTTTTGACATATACATACATAAAAACTTTATACAATATATATTGATAACCATGAAATCATTTAGTCATGTACAGTTATTGAAAGCAAAGAGTCAAGAACGTAAGTAGTGATCTTTGACCATATTCTTAAATGCTGTCAGAGTGTGGGCACGTCTTATGGATATCGGCAAAGCGTTCCATAACCTAACAGCCTGCACTGTAAATGATTATCATAGAATATCGTAGTGTGGCTAGGTACCATTAGCTCTAAAAGATATCGTCATCATCATCATCATCATCATCAACAGCCTATACTAGTCCACTGCTGGACATAGGCCTCTCCTTAGAAAGGAGGTTTTGGCCTACTATACCACGCTGGCCAGACGGGTTGGTATAGGGTTTGTTTCAAGTTTTCCTTCTCTTTGCAGTGCTGTTGTCCTGCTTAGTTTGCTCCCTTAGTCGGCTCTTACGACACCCACGGGATGAATTGGGGTAGTGACAATTTGTATTCTTAATCCGTCACCACACGGACGTAGTAAGATATCGTATCCTCCAATAATAAAAATTGTTACTTATTTTCAGTCACATAACGAAGACAACAACATGGGATGACCCTCGCAAGACGCTAGCGGCACAATCGGTGACCAATGCTGTTCAGCATCAAAGCAGTGAAACATTGCTGACACAGGCTTCCCCACCTCAACAAGCTATTGCCAACACTACACCCACACCAGGTACCTCAATGTCCATATCCTTACTTTTTATGAACAGTGATCATGATCAAAGCTCTTATATAAGAAAACAAGAAGTTAGTACTTCTTGATTTCTTATATAGTCATGGTTAAAATGGTTATAGTAATATGTGTTGGTTATAGTCATGGTTTAAAAAGCTATAAATATTTAAACCATGACTAACTATTTAATGTATGATATGTAAATATGTAGTTAATGAAAGTGTGTTGTTAATATTTACGAGGGATATTGGGACTCCAGGTAAGAAAAACATACTTTGTTTATATTGTATTATCATAGCACTATTGAACTAAAATCGACGAGTTCACTCTCAAAAGCAAAGACCGAATCTTAAAATTGCATACTTTTTTATTTGTATCTCCATCTTCTTTTCGACGGATTTACAGATGTTTAAGGTCTCTTTTTTATGCTTCCTGTTATGCAGCAGTAAAGAAAAATGAAGAGGACGATACCGGTTCTAGACACAGGTTTTCTATCTGACCAAGTAACTCTAAAATTTTGGGAATACCTGATGCCTATAATAGAAAAAAAGCTGTCAATTTTATGAAAAACCCTACTGCTGACAACGTACGAGTATATCTGGATGAAAAGAAAAACAATGTTCGTTAATTATCACACCTTACATCTTTTTTTTGTACTTTATCTATTTTTACTCAATAATGACAAATGATCAACATTTTCGTATCATATGCCTCATACATTTTATAGTTTCATTATCTGCATTCATATACCACACTAATGACTAACGTAGACTATGTCATGAAATGGAACTATTTCTCGAATTGATCAATTACTTTCTGATATAATCCATTCTACGGCCTGGGCACGACAGTTCCATAATCATACCTAAATGAAGTAATTATGTGTCAGGGCCGAAACCAAATTGGCCATGCAATTGCAAGTTTGGTTCAGGCCTCAGAAATCGTAAGAATAAGACACTAGAAATGAATTAACGCCCGATTACTGCCAAAACCGATATCGCCATATCTTAACACATACACAAAATACAAACAAATAGATGTAAGACTCGCACACACTTGCAAAACAACTGTGAAATATATGGAGCACAAACTATTATGACCCTTAATCTCCAGGAATTATATTTTACTCCAATATATTATGTGGCACCACTACAATCTCTGTCGATGATGAGAATCCCTGTAATCAATGCTAGGGATTGACAAAAAAATTCGAAGGTGTCGATATTTTTTTTATATTTTTATTTCTTATTTTTATATGGATTATAAAAATAAGAAATAAAAATATAAAACCCTTGATATATACAATTTTTTAAATATTTATGTAACAGTAATGATTACTTACTTATAAATGAATGGTACCTATTATAAAAATCAAGCTATCCATCTATCAATCTAAAAAAAAACAACAAGTAAATTGCTATAGCTAAAAAAATATAAAAATACAGTTTCTATAAATGATAAACAATAAAATAAAAAGTACCCATATATTTATAATAATGTAGAAGTAATAAAGAGAGTAGTTTCCTTTTTTCTATATTTACATAGTCGTCAACTGTGTAATACACGTATTCCTAACACTATGTTTGAAAATATAGTTAATTATAAAAACAAGTATCTCTAGTAATTAATATTATCAGCAACTCTACGAAATGAATTTATTGATCCGTAAAATAAAGAAATTTCGTCGTTTTCTATAACATCAGGATTTTTCGGGTATCTAAAAATTAAATATAATTATGTGCCTCCTAAAAAGATAAACATTTTATTTACATTTATCAGCATGCTAAACATTTATAGATTTTAATACGCAAACTTAGAGAAATAATTAAATTCCTAAAGAAATTACTGTGAATACTTAATAATAATAATATTTTACCTGCATATATATATGGTTTAGCTTTTGACGTTCGAAAATCTGAAAAATATCCCTTTATACTAACATCAATATAAACTGTACTTTCATTCAAATGAATGGCACGGTTACATCACTAACTGGCGATCGATGCCTGCAGCCGTATTATAAACTATCTAATATTTCACATTACATTGCTTGGCTAGTTTGTAATCGTACAAAACGGAAAGTAGTAAATGAAGAAAATATCTCATTAAAGTATTCATCGAGGTGTAATCGAGTAAAAACAATGATGTATTAGTAAAACATAAACATACGAAATGTTAGGCCTATTAGTTGAATTACACATCCCTGATGCGTTTTCACAACCTATTATGCTGCAGTTTACTGCTATGCTATGCTACAGTTTGCTGCACCATTTTAACTATATAAATTCACATACGACGCTCCGCGCAGCTAATAAACGAATGGTGTGAATTTCTGTAAGTGGTGTTCGTCTACACATCATTGCGGCGACAAGGTCAAGCGACTTCTAGTGTCTCATTATTACGATTTCTATGGTTCAGGCTCTTTCTTGTATTTTGTATTCCTATCCAAGGGAACATATTCATATATTTAGGTATTAAGTATCTTTTTTCCTGTTATTTTCTGCTTAAAGACTTCCGAGTGAGAGTGTACATACATCTAGACTGGGACTGCTCTCATCAGTATTAGGTAAAATGTGCAAAACTGAAATAATAAAAATGTAACTTTTCAAATAAATAGACCCCGAAAACCGCAAATCACACCTTAATTACATGTCTGAAGTCGGCGACGAACCGGGCGGCGAAGGCGCGCTTATCAGGGCCTCATGCGATGTCCGCGTGTGCCGGACGTCGCCTACATAGAAAATGTACCTGATGACCATGAATTGCGGGCTGGCGGTAGGAGGGGTCCGGATGTACTAATAACAGCAGTCCCCGGATTCCTCCTATTACAGGCGCAGAGTGGCAACGTGTGTTTTTAGTCGGTCCGATTCGGACACACAACCTCGCCGCGAACCCCGGCGGGGTGACGGCCCGAGGGGGTGGGTTTCCACAGAAAAAAAAAGGGTTCGAAAAGTTGTCAGTATTATAAATCATGTCCACATGCTACGGCAAGTTATACAGAACACCGAAAAGTATCAGTTGCTATTAATATTTGCGTTTATGGACTATGAAAAAGCCTTTGATTATCGTTATATGGACGGTCTTTAAGCCTATCCAGTGATGCCTAATAGATTACCGGTACATCAAAGTATAAAAGTGTGTGCATGTTCTATCTATTCCAATTATGAATTAGAATTCATGCTGTGAATTCCTCTGCGGGATCAAATATAAATAAAATAGAAAAACCAATACACTGACCATGCCACGGATCAACAAGTCGAAGTGGCAATAGATAGGCCATATAGCACGCAAGACCATTGGCCGATGGGGACATAAACAATAGGGGCGCATAATATATACAAAAAAATAAAAAAATAAATTATATATACAGATTAAATTTACTGACATTGCTTTCTACTTACATTGTGAAAATATTATAATTGCGGAGATGCAGACGCAGTTAATTTATAAAATAAAAAGCTAATATGTTTTTAGAAAATAATGTATGTTCTTGCCGCAGTAGGTACACTAACGTTAAATTTAATTATGACCACTTGTTCAAAAGTCCCCACCAAAAATAATACGATACATAAGCAACACAGTATCGAATTATAGATTTTATTGAATGTTTAATTTAAATTATGCATTAAATCTAGCTCTTGTGTATGTATTATAAGAACAAAGATTAGGGTTTAGAGTTTGACAGTTTAAATAAAATATAACAATAAAGAAAAATGTCTTTTTCAAATGTAAATTATGCAATGGCAATACATAGATTGACAAGGATAATCATAACAATTAAAACAGTTAAATTCCTATGTGGTCGGTGTAGAATAAACAATTCAAGAAATAAACAATGCTAAAACAAATTAATTACACGCATGAATAAGAATTACTTGAGTTAAGTTTTTATCACGTAATTAAGCCAATTCATAGAGCACAATGACGTGTATGGTATTTCCATAATATAAAGTTATTATTGTACGTACTAACGGCATTTAAGGATAATCACCATTGTTTTAGTTTAATTCAGCACCTACTTTCCACTGTGTTAGATATCATGGCGAGGTGTCCGTATTACAGGATTTTTGTTCACATTCCTAATCAATAGGGCAATAAGCCTGCCCCTCATTACGTAATTGAGAATACACTTCTGCCCAATCCTTAGGGTATAAAAGAGGTGTGTGTATGTATGTTCTCTATTCAATGTTCTTCGTTCGTAAAATTAGGATACAAACAAGAAGTATCGTGAGAGGGCCATGCTTTGCTTTGTTTGCTGCTTTGGTGCGAGAACCATGGTCTCACAGAAAACTGGTGTCGACAACTCTTTCGATGTTCTTCTCTGAGTGAGTGAGGTTATTGCCTGGCGGAAGGAATGACTTGAATTGCACTTGTCCGTAGGCGTTGCTAGTCACTTACGATCATGTGACCCGTCTGTTAGATTGCCCCTTATAATATATTATATATAAAAGTTTTATACTATTATAATAACGGTAGCAATGGGAAATATTGCATAGTATTGTACAATTATAATGATGTATTACGGGAATTAATGCGCTCACGATAGGTATTAAGTTGCACTGTCTATGTTTACAAGCTCATAAGATTGTGTAGTAGTATTAGGTAAATTGTGATGATATTTGCATTATACTTGATAAGACAACTAAAAAAATGAAATATTAAAAAACATAAAAAAAAAAGAATATTCTTCAGTTATCAATCAATCAATCATAGAAAATCAAATACAGAACAAGACAAAATGGCGCCAGTGAAAGGACCAAAGAAACCGCTTAGGTCCATGGAAAAAGCTATTGATGTCGTATAAATATAACATAATCATATAAAAATTTACTGACAAAGACAAAGATACTTTCTGATAAGATTGTGCTGATGCGTTTTAATACAGTCTTTCCGTAAATGGTAATAAATGATTCATGTTATTGTTGATTTCGTTACTATTTATGTATGGAGTTATTCACAATTTTAATGAAGGATTTATTTTATTGTTCAATTAAAAAAATATTTCATTTCTGAATATTTATTTCCTTTTTGAGACCACACAAAAAACCATTGTATTTGTATATCCTGTAGCTAGCACTCAAAACTAGAAAGTCGTAGGACATTCAGGAGTGGCTTTTTTTCGGATTTCTCCTTTGAATAAAATAAATCCATTTACATAGGTAATACTACATATACTGAGATTACAAATTGTTCGTTTGTGTATCGGAAAAGTGTGATATAAAAATGAAATAAAATAGTGAAGTGAACATTAAATCAGAAAAAAGTTTTATTAGCTGCATAAAACCGACGAAGATGCAGCAGCATCAATTTTTGATTGTGTGGCCCCAATATCGCCTTTTTGTAATGTAGAGAATACATCAAAGGGATTACTTCTGCCGAATGTTTTTTTCTGAACAGAAATGTTGTTGAACCTACCTATCAATTAATTTTTCTCATTTTAAATACGTAATCCAGGAACTCAATAACTTCAATACTGTATTTGGAATCATGATTTTGATGATTTGACAACAACAAAAATTACATACACAGACCGGGCATTATCTTTGTTAATATTAATGCGAAAGTAAGTTTGCTTGTTTGTTACGCTTTCACGCTTTGACTAATTACACGATCATCATGATATTTCGTATACATGAAATCAGCAATACATAAAAGGACACAGGCTACCGTCCTGTCACCCGGAAAAAAGCTGTGTCCCACAGAGATAGTGAAGAATTGATTGATAAAATGTAATTCGTCAGAACCAAACGACGGGCAAAGGGCAAAGATTTTTTTAGGATAATAATAGTAGCGATAGAGTATAGTAATAGAATAAGGATTTCCAAGTTTTCTTCTCCCGTCATTTAATTGGCCACAGCGACGTGTTGAAAATTATCATGAAACTAAAATAAAAACAAGTAAATAACCCGAATTCTAAAACTGATTTTATGACGGGAATTAACGCGTTGTTTCCGTCGGTCGATGTGAGACGAGCGTTGAAAGGTGTTCGGTAAATACCTACATCGGTGTCGCGGCGCCAGCGTTCGCGACGGCCATGGCGCCCGCTCCTTTCAGCGGCTTGCGACATATCCGCCTTACCCTACGTCGAAGTGTAAGTGCACCAAGACTAAAACGCAGCAACACAGAACAAGCTTTCCTACTCATACTTCTTTGTTTCATCACTTTAAACATACCGTGGTTTTCCTGTTGACATTTTACTAGTATTCGATTTTTGTGCCACTATCATTGTGCCACTCATGTTTCACTGGGAACGTATGCTTACCTTTATGAGTTCATTTTTAAAGTTATGATAGTTTACATAGTACGTGACCTATTCACGTATCAGATCACGTTCTCGAGGTGTGCGCCAGCAGGCCAGCGCGTCGCACAAGGCGCCACGCACGTCGTATAGATAGAGGCAAGTGACACTGTTACATCTAACTTTATCTTCGTCACACTACAAACGCCTATGTAGATCAGGTGACAATACAAATAATTGTGTTTTCATAGCGCGTTCCTACTTAATCTATGCCATGATAACACTACTATCTATTTTCATATAATGTCAGAGACTTCATTCTCTTGAAAGCATAATGTATCACGCTCTTTGGTTTTTACTGATGCTTATAAATAGAAATGAGCTTCTCCGTTTACTTGATTTGTATATAAATTAGTGAAGTTGTCAAATAAGTTCAAATAACTATAATTACTTACACTATTTCGCAGTTAAGAGGTAAAAGTACGTAGGTAGGTAGGCGTAACGTAATGCTAACGTAATGTATCGTGGCTATTCGCTAAATGCCCCCGCTCTCCCCACCGGCGTCTGTTGAGTAATGTTGATTGTAAATAATGTTTAATTACACTACACCCACAACAAAGGCGACATAGTTTATGTATTATGCAAATCTTGATTGCAACTGTGATAGAGAACTTTACTGGTGTTATTAGTTTATGAACCAGATTGGATCTCGCGGGAAATGTATATTCTGTCCCATATAATACTAATCAGATCAGATCTTACAAAATTATCGTTACGATTTTTATATATTTATAATAATAATAATTCATTTATTTAATCAAGTAATGCAGTAATGCACACCCCTGTCGCATGCGTCCGCAAACATCCCCTATGCGCTACAGAATCGAGGCAGCCCCACCAGCATCCTGAACGCATTGTTATATTGTACTACTCTGAGGGCGTTGTACGATTTGTTTTGTGAATCCAGCCAACAGGCTGCAGGTGTAGAAACTAGTACAAAATGCAAGGAACAGTGTGATTTTCACTTAGTGAGCAACGCGCGAACCTGCGGGCCGCTCTTAATGACAACGCCCTCCGTTCTCGCTCACTCAATATTTGAGTCGTCCTACTCATGGTCATGGGTTAACATGTGGCCAAGTTATTTGAATCTATAAACTTTCCATAAAGTCGTATCGCCAAGGGTCATGGGAGGTACATTGTCGGTTTTACTACTAGCGGCGTCAAACACCATGACCTCCGATTTCTTGGCGTTGTAAATCAAACCATGTTTTTTGGCATAGCCTTCACATACCTGAACAAGTTTTCTGACACCACAGATTGAGGCACTCAAGAGCCCATGTCGTCTGCGTGACTGACGTTATTGACGACGGTTCTGTCTACATAACAATCGACCCTGGTGCTACTGAGTTCCTCAATCAGTTCATTCACGTACATATTAAAGAGCTTGGGCGAGCTTAACCCCCTCTGCCACACTCTGACCTATATGGTTATGGTATAGGACCATTGCCCATCGCACGGCGATTTTCCGTTCCGCATGGAATTTACAGTCTGAGCGATTTCCGGTGCCTCGAATTTAATTACTTCACTACCCGGTGTAACATCGAGCACTGTAGACGCAGGCCCCAACGGTGATTACACAAAAAAGTGATCCGTGAAAAGGTTTGCAATCCTTTCAGGGTCACAAGGAGTCCCGGCTTACTTTGTAACTTATTAGTATGTTTCCAGAAACCACTAAAATCGGCCTTGGAGTGGTATGAGGCTAACATGTCAATTTGAATCTGATCTTCGTGGTTCTGACACCATTTAAGTCGAGATTTAAAAACCTTCTTAGCGTTACACATTTCATCATATAAACGAGTAGAACCGTTCCGTGCCAAACCCAAGACACAAATTTAAGCCTTGCTTCAATGTGAGCCTCGGCCATGTGTTTGTTCCATCCCGTCACCACTCGTCTATTGCACCTATTGGCCGTTCTTCTACCTATTACAGCGGCTTCACTTAAGGCTTGTACAATGTTCGAGTATAACTTGTCAGTAACCTTTCTATGCCTCTGGTAATAACACGTGTAATCACAACATTCCGTAGTTCAGACGGAAAGACGATCAAACTTAATCTATCATTACAAGCTTTTTGATAACATTCTATTTGATATATATTTCTATCTCCCCACAGAACCCCGTTCGTGCCCGCCTTAGTACATGTATATTTCTTTGACATTTATAAATGTATTTAACGTCAAAAGTTTCATATAGAAAGGCTAACATACGAGTATAATTCGAATTACGATTGACATATAAACATAGTAGATTTAAATTTGAGGATTAAAAAACCAATAGCAACGTCTAACCAGAGATAGAAGTTAGAAATGGCCATTGCTTTCTAAATCCTCAAATTTATACCTTTTTAAACATATTATTATAGCAATATATAGTAAAAAGCTAGGTCTACTGAGCCACAGATTTTGGCTTTCGCCACCTATGGAAATTGTATACCCTTGCATGGAAAAAGAAAAGAGAGGCCTTCGCACCGTAATGGAGCAGTAAAAGCAACATTGTACTATATGTATATTTAAGATAGATATTTAAATTACCCTGTAACACCCAGATGAACAACATCACCAAAAATGACAACAGACAAGTAGCACGTACGATCGCGCAGTGTTAGATACTAGCCATGATATTGGCCTTTAATTAGCCACGAAAGTGTGAATTGTTTATGAATGATCAGTTGTATGTTGTTGGCCTGTAGTACGTATAGGCGTAGATATACAGAATGTGTGTAAGCACGAGGGTGGGTGAGGTGTCCACTACTCTGCGCGACGCATGCGGTATTATTCTGTGATTCACATTCGGATTCATGTGCCAAAGCTGAGCGCGCTCGTCTGGCGCCGTTGTTTCTTGGAACGAGCTATCGGCGACCTTCCCGATGTCCATCTGATTCTCAATCACGTGTGCGTACGTTCTAGTTCATAATGTGCTGGCTTGCAACTAGTCGCTGTTGAGAGAATCATAAGTTATTTTTTCTACGAATGACAAGTGTAATATTTCAAAGGTACTGATTACGTACGTTTGATTGATTTCAGCAGCGAAGAGTACAAGTAGTAATACAACGACGGATCCACTAGGGGCCCTACCGGAGGGTTGGGAGCAGGCCGCGACGGCGGAAGGAGAGATCTACTTCATAAATCATGCGGCTCGCACAACATCCTGGTTTGATCCAAGGATACGTAAGTATTAAATACTCACATTACATGAGCACTTAAATATACCTATTTAATAAGATCAAGTGTATCAAGCGACATTAACGATACAGTTTTTATTTTACTGGTATTTTAAGCGTTTATTTGTATTTGCTTACAGCACAACACTTGCAACGTTCTCCAGCAGCGGGAACAGCTGGTCCGGAAGGTATATGGGGAAGTGCGTCGCTCCAGGCGTGCCAGCAAAAGCTTCGGCTGCAGTCACTGCAGCTCGAGCGAGAACGCCTCAAGCAACGCCAGCAGGAGATCAGACTCCAGGTGATACATCCTCACTAATATAATTTACGAATTTGATAAGTCAGGCAGCAGCAATCTGTAAGATCCCTTACGAGGCTGATATTCGTGATGTAGAATTTAATTAAACAAAGTAGGTACAAAGCAAAGGTATTTTAACGTAAAGTAAAGTTTTTATCTTCAAGTATCTGAATAACATTATAAAAGGTTAAATTTACCAATACGAACGAGATCACCACGTCTACCTATCGAAAAAAAAATGTAAACATTAAATAAGATTGCGGCACATGTTCTGCTACTTCTGAGATTTTCTTCCTATATTATTAATTTATGTGATTCGTTACTATATGTCATGGTTATTTCCTGTATTGTTGATCAACTTGAAGATTAACGACAGTTATGCTTTTTGTCTGATGTTGTTGTATTTTCTTAGTCACCTTATCTAACGACAACTTATTTAGTGTACGATACTGTCTACAGATGTCGTTGTCATGTTCTTGTTCATAATATAGCTGCTATTTACCGAACTGAGTGTTTTATAGAAAATTATTATCTGTTATTTAATTGATTTGTTTAATTACTATTTATGTTTACTTGCTTTAAGTAGAAAACTAAAATAAAAGCCGCATTATCGCCGTCTGGATTTTTATTGCCCTTTGGTCTAATTACACAACGGAACATGTGGTCTGGTTTCTTGCTCTCTGTACTTACCTATTAAAATGTAAACTTAACACTAAATGTATAAACTGAAACTTTCAAAAGATTCGCACTGACATACCTAATTTCATAAACTTATTTCACTTCAGCTACGCTATGAGATAGCTGCAGTATGACGGAATTCATTACAGGCATTCATAGTCATATCCTACACTTCCTGCTCACCGTACCGGCACGGCTTCCTGCTTACCTCAATTATCAAATTGCCCAACAATAAAAAGACAATATTAATCATGTATACCTAATCTCTAACACTGACTAGTCTATTTTTTAATCCTAGAGACATAATTGATAGTATTTGATTTGCTACTTTGATAAAAAACTTTTCAAAACTATCCTTAAAAAGTTTATACGGGATCAATTATTTTTAACTTATTGAGGCCATACTCAGTAAAATTACTATAAGATGTCTGATGTCGACCACCACGCGGACGAAGTCGCCGACAAAAGCTAGTATATAATAATATCGATGCGAGTATGCGATGCGGTATATTGATGCGAGTTCAAGGCCAGTTCATATGTACTAATTTTTTATATAACTTTTCTAGCAAGAGCTGATAATGGCGCGGCAGTCGTCCTCGATTGTATCATCACTGGCAAGCAGTACGGGAGGTGTAGCGAGCACAGAGCTGCCCCTGGACCCGTTTCTGTCAGGGCTGTCAGACCACCAGCGACAAGAGTCGGCCGACAGCGGGCTCGGCATGGCCGTGCCACATTCGTATTCCATGCCGCACACGCCAGAAGGCTTCCTTTCGGGCATGGATGACCGCATGGACTGTACTAGCGAGGCAGGCGCCAACCTCGATTCTAATGATATGACACTTGGCGACAATCTCGACCCTACCGACGATTTGGTGCCTTCTTTACAGGTAAATATATTTGCTTTGCATTTTGATTACCTCAAATAACTTTTCTACTCGAGGTTTGAATTGTTAAAAGTAATAATTGATCCGTTGTTTTGAGTTCGTCTGGATTTTGTTAAATAGAATCGAATGGATAGGTCTGTTAGGTCAGGTATATATGAGGACAGAATGATATAGTAACTCTACATTAGCCCTGTAACTGACAAGTTTGCTTTTGCTTTGCTTTTTTTTTAAAGACAACTCCCGCATTAGGAATATATCCTGTGTCGCGGGGGACTTTACAAACATACATGAAACGGACACAGAGAACACCCAGACTCAGAACAACAATTTGTGAATCACACAAAGTGTAGTTCCATGTGGGGATCGGCTCCACAACACTCAGCTACTACAGTAAGCGGCGAGGTGACCGCTTAAACCACTACGCCATCCGTGCAGTCACATACATAGTTCTTGTTAGTTTTACATTAGAGTATCACTATTACTTTTATTTTTAGAGTTTTTCCTTGACCGCATATGAGCACAAAAAATAAAATAAACCGAATGAATGGTTCTTGGGTTATAAGTACAATAACGGTACTAAAACTGAAAGTGAATAAAAAGACTAAGACACTTTTTAAATTTCTTTCAAACAATAGGAACTGTCCGTTTATGTATGCAAAACTATTCATTGGCAAACATTGTCACTGCGGTCGCGCTATTAATATAAAAATAACAATGATGACTAGCATGATTCACTATCATTAAAGTCTACAAAAAAGTTTTCAAGTATCAAAAGAACTATAAATAAAAAGTAATACCTACTCTTAGTATATTTTTAACATTACATAATAAGAAATGTTGGATGATGTTTAAAATACATTTTCAGATGAACGAGTTCACAAACGACATACTTCTGGACGACGTGCAATCACTGATAAACTCGACGCCGAGCAAGCCGGACAACGTGCTGACTTGGTTGTAGGCGCCGCGCTCCCGTGTGCGATTTACTTTCAAATTAGGTATTATAATGTTTAATTTAGCGTACTTACCGCTGTGTACGACGTCGACCGCTATCACAGTGTCGGTGATGAAACGGTAACGATGGTGTATATTTCACTTTGAAAATGACAATTACTAGCGTAACATGTGTATTGACTGATGTGGAATTTCATGTGTGCTTATGGTTTAGAAATAGTTAGAAACCTTCAGTACCGGTGCGACGGTTGCCACGAGAACGATCCAATTTCCAACGGGAAACATGTTGACTTCACGTGTACGTGACCTTACGTGGTGTTTTTTGTTAAATGTGTTTTCCGCAACGGTTATTCTATTCTTTCTCTATATCTGCTCGCTTATTATGCAGAATTGGTTTTATCTCTGTCTCTGCATTTATTCGAATGAGATGGAATACAAAATCGTGTGAGTATTGTAAGTGTTTTCGTTACGATAGATGTGTCTTTAGAGTCTTTGTATGTTTGTGTTCAATAACATTTACTCATCGCAATTCCTGAATTGGATTTGGCATTATAAGTTTTTGAACTATTTTTTTACATGTTAGCAGATAACTGCTAAAATAATACAAACCTAATTCTCTAGTTTAGTATGGACGTTTCTGCTTGTAATTGAACTAGTTGAATACAAAGTTTAGCAACAGAATGAACTGCCAACGATCGTGATACGTTAGAGGATGAGTATCACGGCGGCTAGTCAGGGATGGGAGAGGCGCGGGAGCGCGGCGGCTGCATGCCTTCTTTCGTAGCTGAAAGTAGTTGCGTTGCAACGCAGTCATTACTGAACTAGTTTTCCAATATTCTTTTGAATGGAGACTATCGGAAATCGTATTCTATATTTCGGAATAAACAAACAATATTTTATGATGTATTTTAAAATTAAGATTGTGATAACATCTTCATGTGACAGTGCCTTATTGTGCCTTGATAAAAATTATTTATTGTTATAATAATTTAGCTAATGTTGAAATATTTTTACAATTTTCTATTGTCAAACTATTGATATTTGTAATAGTGATTTGACAGATAATAAACAACTTATGTACTTGTAGATCGTGGTTTGTCGACTTACACCGTCCTTGTGAATTTTGGAGATTATGAATATACGTTAAGTTTAATAGTTAATCATAAACTAGATAATTATGTTGGCAACTATTATGTTTTACATGTCGTAACGTCGGGTTGTAAGTGAACTATGTGACTACCTTTGCAATATTCAATTGTATGGGTGCAGCTAGCTAAATATTTTAGGAGGTTATTTTAAAATTTTGCCACTAAGTGCCTTATTATTAGCCTAATGAATGTCTGATTACACTGATTGTGACGTCACAACGGATTCAACTTACAAATCATTTTGAACAGCGCCGGAGCGAAACACAATTTGGTGCCAATTAAGTGTAAATCCATTTTCAATAATTTCCGTTGCGTTGTTAGTATAACTTCATTATTTTAGTAATAATGTAATCTTTATTATTCATTCACCTTCATCAACAATAAAAAAACGTTTCAAAATTTTGTAAGCCCACCTAGTCTTAATTTTTTTGTACGAGTGTAATGAATTCAACTAGCTTGATTGATTAATATGATATTTGAAATTAGGCCTATATTGTCAAATGCTACATTGAAAACTTTGCCATATTAGTAAAAGTACTATTATCTTTATAAGACTAATATAATCTTCAGTTATGACGAATAGCAATAAATAACATCTGTGTAACTATTGTAATTAGACATTATGGTGCTGGGTTTATGATACATTTCATTTTGTATTCTGTAGATCCATTTGTTGTATACTTTATATTTGTATCTGTCGTGTATTATTTCTAAGAGTCCGTAGATTTGGATGCTTGTTATATTGTTCGGTTAATTATTCGTTAATCGCTTCCTTCCCCGTCGTATTCGTGATGTTGGTCGGAAAGGATCCGAGCAACGCTCGAAAACACTCACTTCAAGTAGCGTTCCTACTGTCAGCCTTGCTTTAATGTCACATCGAGAAACATTCCATGTTGTAACAGTCGGCGCCGGCGCCGCGTCGGTGGGCGAGTGCCACTGTGCCGCCTGTGCCCCCCTGTGCCATACTGTGCCGTGCTGTGTCCGCCAGCGCAACGTCTGTGGCACACTGCGTACCCACAGTGACACTCCCATCCACTCGCAGCTGAGTAATATTCTGAACAATATCTCAAGTATAAACTATAATCAATTATTTCTTAAGTATAGTCTTTATGAGAAACATATCTTTTCAGTCTGTTATCAGATGCAAGTTTTCTATGTAGTGTATGTAACTACGTGTATCAATGTTATAACAATGAAATTACGTGTCAAAGTTATTAATTTACTATAATTTCATTGTAAATAATTCGATATTCTTATATAAAGTAAATAAATATTTGTTTTAATACCTATTATCTATTTCATTACCCATACTTTTCATAAAATTCAGTAGTACTTCATGGCATAGGCAAAAGGTATGTGTATGTTACATAATAATATGTAATAAAAACATATGTTTAATGATGAACTTTTTCATGATTATAATTTGGAAACAAAAGTTAGAGATAAAAAAAAAATACAAATTACAGATCAGAATTTTATAGTAAATAATAGTATTAATATGCAGATTTTTAGAGTTCACTCCTAGTGATTCTTCTCTGTTGAAAAAAAAAAAGAAAGTCAGAGTAATATTTACAACAAATTATATTTATTATAAATTTAATTATAGGCAGCTCAAACATGCTTTATCTCCGAGTAATATATACACTACAGTTATAAGTTTTTACTACCATGCTTCCAACACCTCTGGCTTCTTCACTTTCGCATCTGTCAAAAGTAAGCATCATTAAGGCTGCGTAAAGTCAGCTTTTAAGTCATTAAACGAAAGGTAAGTGAGAAGAAAGAAGGAAAACAGGTAAGCTTGAGATTACTGTTTAATATAAGTAAGCCATCACATCACTATAACAATAACATAATGGATTATGAACGTATTCATACAAACAACGAAGAAAATTAGGTACATAACAGGTATTATATAATCTAAAGCACACGTTCTGAATGCTTAAAAACGTTGATCGATTATTATCTTCTTTCTCTTTCTTTATCAATGTTAAAATATGTTATAACATTAATAAAGAAAGCACAAAACGAATAAAATTATATATATTGTAATTTCAATTTATTTTGCCTTCATATACATACATATTTACAAATTGCGAAAAATGAATGTTTACTCCACTCTAAATTAGCTTTATTCTTAGTGAATGGTAGGCCATCTAAGATCTCCTTAGTCATGCAAGCATCCATAAACTTTAAATACTGTAACAATCGGCTGTAGGAACCTAATACTCTACTAGAAATAATGTATAAAATAATTTTAGGAACTCTTCCTATTCGTCAATTCTTAATCGAATATCAGTTCAAAGTGAAAGCAAAAATTAGATATACTCATCTGATAACTTGAAGGAGAATAACAAATATCAATACCAAAAAAAAAAACTGAACCATCTAACTTAAAGAAAATGTTATTTATTATTATTTTATTATATTATATGACTAGTAAAATATAGCATTAGTAACCACAAAATTAGCAACAATATGTGCAGTGCAGGAGGCGGCTCGATATTCAGGGCACTAGATTTTCAATTTTTTTGGACAAATGTATTTAAACAGTTCAAGATATTAAAATCTTTATAAATAATTAGTTTAATTAGAGATTACCTACATAGTTCAGAGTCCTAAAGTAAGACTACGATGAAATTAAAATCAGAAAGGCTGATAAAAATATAGACGAAACGCAGCACGTAAAGGTCGACTGGTTTAAGATTGGAATTTCATCTAGTGAAATCTAGTGTTTAACATCATTGGTCTAAGAGTAAAATATTAATTAATTAATGAAACGTGAATCTTGAAGCGACGCGATAAGGTTAAACATTCACTTTAAGTTACCCATAGGTATTTTCTTATAACCTAGAAAGATAGAAATTAAAGTATGATTTTAAAGTGGTTATAAAGATCTAATTCCATGCGCGTAGACAGAATCACATTTAGAGAGGCTCCCTAAACCAGTTTATGAGCATGTAGTCCTTACAGATGGATCCTTGAAGCGTTCATCCTGAGGCAGTTCACGGGTGTCCGTCAACTGGCGGTAGTACTCCGCTGACAACTTTGGCGTGCGTGGAAGCGCTGGGTCAGTTATGTTCACGTAGAAGAATCCAAAACGTTCACTGGGTAACATATATGTATATCTTATTATATCAGCATACCTTTGTAACAAGAGGACGACATAAAACATAATCCTCCTAGTACTAATAATAGTACCTGGATGACCGAGCTTTGCTCAGTATTTTTTATATCGCCCCCGAAACCCCCTGCATACTAAATTTATTATGTTACTTATTAATATATTTATAGTTATTAATATATTTACAGATTATATATATATATACAAGAATTGCTCGTTTAAAGGTATTGAATATAAAATATAATAAAAAAAATAGTTTTAAAAAACTAAAAAACACGCTTTCTATAGAAAACCAAACTAAAAAATAGAAAATAAATGCCTGTTGTCAATAGTAAAAAGCACCCCACATATATATTTTTATTTTTTATTTTTTTAAATTAGTGTGTTGTCATATCCTCGATATATCTACAAAGTTTGAACGAATTCTGACCGTTTAAAGTCAGTCAAAATCACGCCCAAAGGAGTCGGTTACAAACATACAAACAAACATAAAAGTGAAGCTAATATAAAGCGTGTAATCTGTGTTGATGATTAGTACTAATTTAGTGTAAGTAGAAATATGTTAAAAGCTATACATAGTTCAAATTCTTACGAAAATCCAGCTCTCCATTCGAAGTTGTCCATAAGAGTCCATGCTGTGTATCCAAGAACTTTGACACCATCATCATTGATCACATTCAATATTTCAGAAAGATAGTCCTGTGAACATTTGATAAAGTTTTTATAAATTAATATGCTTTAATCATCTCCAATGCCTGGAAACATTTGGAATATTAAAAGTTTACCTATACATAGAGAAATATAGGTAAATCTGCAAATAAAGCAATGTATAATCTAAAAAAAAAATACTCATAGAGCACGTGTTGCTCTGTGGGAATACTGGTTATTGAAAACACAGTTTAAAAGTTAAGGACAGTTGATTTTATGATTTTATTTTAATCTGAAAAAATACCTGTATAACAGAAACAGAACAAATAAACACTTTTTAAGAGAAAACATAAATATCTTATGGCTCATACGTTAACTACTGGATCTGTATCAGAATAAATACCATTTTCGTCCAAAAAAAATTCTTGAACAGAGCAACAAATTCTCTTCGGTTCTGATAATGATATCAAACTATTACAAAACCAATAAAATAAAAATCATAAAACGACTGCAATTACTTCCTCTCCTTCGTATTAGGAATAAAAATACTGGACATATTTTAATGATTTACTAACATTATAATATTTAATGCGGCCGTAATCATCCAAAGTACCGCGGTCGGAAAATCCATTCTCAGTAATGTAAATTGGTGGGTCATTGTATGAGCTCTTGCACCAACGCAACAGATTAGCGAAACCAGTCGGGACCACCTGTAAGAAATAGCCAAAATTAGTACTGCGTTGCAAGGAATACCCTTTTAAGTAGAAGGTATGTTAACAAAAAATAGTTTACCCTCAACCATTCTGAAGCAGAATCGCCACCGACTTCCATAGTAGTAACAGCGCCAATGTCTTTCAACCAGGACGGTGATTTAGCTGTAGGATCCACACCCGCGCCAGTGACTAAGAATGTTGTGTAGTGATTGATGCCCAAAAAGTCTGACGTACCCTTGATCCTCTGTATCCAATGTGCGTCAAACTGTTCGAGACGTGGTTTAGGCAGACCTTCGGCCTCACTCTGGCGGGCAACATTTTCTACCATCACAGCGGGGTAGCCTCCTTCTGCGGTGAAGATGGGGTGTGCAAACCAACCGAACTGAATTAAAAATATATATTTAATACATAGAAATAATAGAAGTATTTTTAATGGAATAGTAATTACTTAAAGTTTTAATCGTTGCTTAAAATATCCTTGCTATTCCTATTTTATACTATTTTGCAGATACTAGGTGGATCTGAGTACTATTTTGAGAAGTGCTTGTATCAGTAAAATATTGATTACGAGGTAAGTCCTACTGTAAATGTGTAGGTGTAGGTGTAAATTGAGTTGATGCCAGATGGTAAATTTATTTATTAAAAACATTAACGAAACTTAAAAATAATATAACTTGTACTATTATAGTCATATACTATGGCATAAAGGTATAATTCTTTTTTTAAATAATTGTTATACTATTGAAAAAAAGAATGACAATAATAATATTAATTTTGCATTCAAAATTAATATTTATTATTTAGCTCTCAACTTATAGCCCCCAAGTAGTGCTTGCCGTGTACCCCTAAAGTCATGGCATATAAAAGTGATATAAAATCCCTTACTTTGAACTGATTGGCGACTTCAGCTAATGCAACTTGTTCGGCATTCTCAGGGTCGCTGGGCTCGTACCAGATAGAGTTTATTGAGATCATAATCCTTCCGTTTTGAGTGGCGCGGTAGGTATCGTTGTACAAGTGGTAGGATTCAGCATGAGCTTTCAATAACGTGTCACTGCACAAGTAGTTACCAACACCGTGGCTGTCAAGGGCAGGTGCCTTCTTATCATCTCCGTATGCATCTTCGCAAATCTCATAGGGCTCGTTGAAAGTAATCCATGATTTAATTTTGTCACCGAACTCTCTGAAGCATATATCCGAATAGTCACGGAAGTAATCAATCATCTTAGGATTAGCCCAACCACCTAGATCTTGGAGACTTTGAGGTAAGTCCCAATGGAATAATGTAACCTGGAAAAAAATGTAGATATGTTACTAATTATCGAATAATAATAATATTTCGGAAAACTGACAAACAACACCATCAAGTTTTCAAACTAAGCAGAGCTTATATTATGAAAGTTAGATTGACTGATAGAATACTTATATGTATACTTTTTTTTGTATATACATAGAAAATTATACGGTCCGACTCAGGCATCGAATCCAAGACCTCAGCACAGTAGTTGCATACACTACCACTGCACTGTCTATTTCTACTATTTACAAATAGTGCATTATCTTAAACCTGCGTGTATGTCACTTATCGCGGTAAAAAGTAGCCTACATATGTCCATCCTCAAGAATTAAATTACGAGTATCTCCATGTCAAATTTCTTAATATAGAGATTATACATACTTGCGTTAAAGATTTCATTTGAATTTAATAAGTTGCCAGTGATACAAAACCACGAAAACTACTTATAAATAAAAAAGTGTTTATATAGAAAAGTCGGATATTTCTTTATAAATTGTCGCACATTTGCATACCAAAATGCATATGATTTTTATAAAATTGTGAGTTGTAGCCTCTTTATCCACGAATTTATTAAAATTTATTGCATAGTAAGGAAACGTATGATATATAAATTGGAGAAGAACATACCAGGGGCTCGATGTTGTTCGCAGCTAGAAGGTCGAGAAGTTCATTGTAGTAGCGAATACCATCTGGGTTGATGAAATCTGCTCGACCAGTCGGGAGAATACGGGACCAAGATAGGGAAAAGCGGTAGAAGTCAACACCGAGTGCGACAAGATTCTCAACATCTTCATGATAACGATTGTACGAGTCGCAGGCAATATCCCCGTTGGTAAGATCAGCGACCATTTCTGGTCTAGTGTGGGTCAAATGATCCCAAACATTTTCTGATTTACCTGGAATTCAAACTTGTGTTGTTTAAAATTATAACCTATACCTACCAGACGATAGGTACACATTGTAAACTTAAGTTTGTTACTGTACTGTAATGTTTAAGCTTATTAATATTTCAGCCAATTGAAATAAGAAAAAGGGAAGTATTATAAATGGGTACTGTTTATCCTTTATGAAAATATGAATAAAACTGTAGCAGTAAAATTATACCCCCAGATTCATTGTAAATCTATTTAAGGCACCCCGGACATAGGCCCTAAATAAAATGACACTGTATTTAATAAATATAGTGTCATTTTATTTAGATCGTCTTGGATATAGCCATATAGCCTAGCCGATAAAGCCTTTTCCTTGATGAGGTACCGTAGGAGGTTACCACACGAAAAAGAAAGAAAGATAACAATTTAATACGATATCATGCCTCCCTTCAAACTTTATGAATTCGTTACATCATAAATAAATACTGAAGTTATATCATCTACAGATCTAAATGTCCATGGAAACAATTGTTTTGTACTTCACCAAGTCAGTTTATGTGTAATCCTTGATACAAGTTGATAAAATTGATGTAGTGTTGTTGATTTAGATGTTCGTCAAGATAAGAGCAGACTATAAATACCTATAATGCTTTAAATCACTATCAACTTTTTATTTCTTTACTTGGTTATTTTAGGATGATAAGTTTGTAATGCTTGCAACCGGAATCTTTTGATTGGCAAGTTACTTTAAGAAATTTTAAGCCAAAATATAGTCGTTAAAAATATATCTTTTGTCTTTTATTCGTAAGGATCACAAAGTGAAATATTTGTGACAATTCTAACTAATAGCAGTTTCTTTGCGTTGAAATGGGATTCATCTTTTTCCCCTAAAATATTGAAGAATATGAATCGGCTTACCGTTGACGTTCCATGCTCCCTCGATCTGATGAGCTGCTGTCGCTACACCGAATGTAAAACCTTCGGGAAACTTCGTGTAACCAGCAGCAGTGCGCCTGCAATAAAGTAGATATTGTGGAGGAACGGGTGTCATGTCCCTCCAACACAAAGGGAGGATCCTCCGACCAGGCGAGGTGATCATGCCTGGCGGGCCACGGCCCAACGGTTGATGTTGGGAAGTTGTATACATGCTAATCGGCGAGGGAATTCTTTATATCGCGATACGGGATTAGCAATTCGTATTTTAGTAGTTACTCCGTAGTTCGGTGTGTCTTCATTAGATGGCGTTGTAGTATGTTTCTGTTTCAGATGATGATGAAGATGGCAATAGTTTATTAGTTTGTAGCTGACTAAGGGAGCAAACTACCTATGGACCTCTCCTTGGAAAGGAGTTGGCTAGTTTTACCACACTGGCCAGACGGGTTGGTATAGGCTTTGTATCAAGTTTTCCTTCTCTTCGCAGTTCTGTTGTCCTGCGTAGTTTGCTCCCTTAGCCGGCTCCCTTACGACACGGGATAAATAGGGGTAGTGACACTCCGTTTTCTTCTTCGTTGTATAGAGTTTAAGTTGTTTGACTATTATTGTTGAATGTCGAAGAAAAATGTGATAGAACTACATAGGCATACTTCGATAAATGCTACTTACAGGATTCATCTGGCATTTTTCCATAAACAGTTTTACCTGAATTATACTCTTTTCTATGTTTATTTATTAATTAAGTAGTTTATATTACACTATACATTACACTTTTTTTCATCTAGTTCGCCAATATACTACCTACTATATAACCCGTCTGGTGCTAAGCTATGATTGTTCTAAAACACTTTAACTGTTAAATTGCTTGTAATATACAGATATTCGGTGGTATATTAGTACTCATATATATTCGTTTCAGGAAGCTGATCTTATGTCTTTTCTAAAATTATGTGGCGACTTCCACATACGGTGAAACAACGAAACAGAAACATACTACAGCGCCATCTAACGAAGACACTCCGAACTTCGCAGTAACTCCTGAATGAGAATTGCTTACCTGTATTGCGATATGAAGAATTCTCCCGCCGATTAGCATATATACCACTTCCCAACATCAACCGTTGGGCCACGGCCCGCCAAGCATGATCACCTCACCTGGTCGGAGGATCCTCCATTTGTGTTGGAGGGACATGAGACCCGTTTCTCCACAAATATAACAAGGTTTCTTGAGTTTTTTTCCTCCCTGCTGGCCTGTATGTCAATTTTACCTTACTCAATTTATATCACTTTTTTATTAACGTGATTGTATGATTTAGAGTTGTGTAGCTCCTGAGTGAGTGATCTAAAAGATATATATCATTCACGCTGATAAAATGTATCACTCACTCACACTAGCTCCGAATGTATCAGTAACTCAGTTGTATATAATTTACTAGCCCCACGAGGCCGATCTTTGTTACATGCGCGTGTGAGACTTAAAGATATGTGAGTGAGATAGATGAAGGTTGAGTTCACGCTTATTTAGTTTCTTTAGGCAAAACGTACATTAGTTTTATAGAATCAAATTCAAACAATACTTATTATTTGAGAATTAAACCTGCCAGGTATGAAGGAAAATCAATTTAATATGTATGCTTTCTAATATACAACCTAATAAAACTACAAAATTATACATGTAAAAGTGTGTTAATAACTATGCAATCTTAACACAATGACTAAAAATTGTATTAAAATAATAGGTTCAAAATAAAGTAGCAAGAACTGAATTTTGTTTAATATGAGAAAAAAGAAAGGTTTGTATGAGCGAGAGAGGTTTGAAGTGAGTGATATACACATACTGAGCTAAACGATATAGGCAAAGAAATAAATCAATTGAGAAACCAATCAATTGAATTGGATCACTGAGCTAGTTAAATGACTAAAAAAACAAACCACGGGTTGCACTCCGGGAGTGCCGGCAGAAGTGAAAACTTGAATATTAACGTTGTGCATTTTTGATATTTTGGAATGGTTAGGGAATAATTTTGCACGAATTGCTTTAATTATCATTATAAAAGTACTATTATTTATGTGGTAGAATACAATATTTATTTATTGCGCTATCGTACACAAACATGACAATTTATCGAGACGCCGTCACCATCCATAGATGCGCGTGGCACGCTGTAACATAAACACACACGAACATTCGCGCAAGCACTCTGCGCCGACTAAACGAAACAGCAGGAGCAGGCATACATTTTCGCCTCGCTGTAGAAAGAGAGGGGGATACTTCCTCTCCTACGCCGCGCCGGCTGTCTACTCTCCATCCGTCTTACGAATTTTCGATCAGGTCACGTGTCCTGACGCGAGTTTATTACCCATTACAAAAAAGTGTACAACGCCGCTAAAGAAGTTTTCACTTCAAAATATCTTTAGAGTGAAATGATATGTATCTTTCTTTTTAGCTCATACATTTTGCGCATCACTAATATGATGTAATCTTGTTGTAACAGAAAATAAGGTGATATAAGGAAAATTAAAAGTAGGTTAGTAAATTATAGTGATGTGCCGGATCATTAACAAAGTATATCCGCGGATACGGATCCGAATACGGATATTTGGTGTCAAGATCCGCGGATACGGATACGGATACGGATCTTAAGTTTCTTACTCAATCGGAGCCCGTGACCTTGATAGTTGTCGCCACTTGACGCTTTGCCGTTGATATTTAAATATTTCATTATTTTAATAAGCTAATACAAAGATGTTTGATTGATCTCATTATAAAGATAGCTCTTTCAGTACCTACGACCTGCCTAGTTGATTTAGTATAGTACGATAAATTATTGCAATACAAAGGTGCCAAATATTTGTTTTAAGAAATAAAAAGTAATCTGAACAGAATTCAATAGTTTTTCATAGCTACCTAATAACCATTATTCAGGGTTATTTTAAATTTACTGAAAACCTCTGAAGTGCATATTAGTTATAACATAAACAACAACTTTTCTTCTGGACTAACACCGAAAACGAAAGAAAAAAAAATATTTCTATAGAGAAACAATTTTTTTCAATCAAATGTTATTAGTTTGTATAGACAAACTAACAACATTTGATTGGTCATTTGAATTTGAATTTTTTTATTTTGACCTTGGCCAGAAAAAAAGTTGCTGTTTATAGTGTTACAAACACATACCTAAGAGTTTTACAGTGAATACAAAATCACCTATATAGAATTTCATCTATGTAATATGTATTGAAAGATCCGCCAAAAAAGTCACGGATAAGGATATGGTTACGGATCTCTTTTCTCCCTTGGATATCCGCGGATACGGATACGGATACGAATATCCGGCAAATCACTAGTAAATTAAATGTAGAATTTTTACAAGACCATAATTAAGACTTTCGTAAGGTCAAATTATTGAACTTGTTTAAACTCGGCGCATTTGGAAATGGTTTTCAAGTACAATCTCAAGATATTAGGTATGATATTAAGTACATGGTCAATGCCACGCTCGTAAAATTGTTTGCGGATGATAGAGTGACATAGAACTCAAAAGACAAACACGTTGGTTGTAACTGTTGAATATGATTCAATTTTTAATTCTGAGGGCCTGGTGTACCTAAGTTAATTCGGTCGTCATGATGACCGCGTTCGGCGCTGTGATTGGTGTAGAGTTCATGCGCTCACTGCTGCACCGTGACGATTGAATAGATGTGAAATAAACTCGCACTAAGGCCTTTTGTTTACACTCAGCCAAGAATATCATGACCTGACTATCGCGCTAAAGACGTGTGCTCCACAGTTGGCACAGGTTTTAACTCTCCTTTTACGACTCTCCTACTCCTTAGGCCGACGCCTAGGGAGTAGGAGAGTACCGGAACGACTTCCGAACTCCTGGAAGGTAGCGCTCGTTCACCCGTTCCCTAAAAAAGGCAACCGCTCTGACCCGTACAACTACAGGCCTATAACCATAATTCCCTTGTTCTCTAAGAATGTGGAATCCGTAATCAACTGCCAGCTCCCCCGGTACTTAGAAAATCACCAGCTACTCAATGACCGACATGGTTTTCGCCGGGGTCGCTCAGCTGGTGATCATGATTGTGTGGCAAGCTTGGACATAGTGATGGCCTTCGATCGGGTGTGGCATAGACCGCTTCTCTTGAAGCTTCCAATTGACTGAAATTATGTAACTGGGTCACCAGTTTCCTTGCAGATAGAAGCATTAAGGTCGCTATCGACGGTGCATGCTCAGACTTGAAGTCAAAAGGCAAAAGACAAAAGGCTGTGTGCTATCACCCACACTGTTTCTTCTGCATATCAATGATATGTTATGAACTAGTGACATCCATTGAGATGCCTTTTATACCGGCTGTCCCAATATTTCTCGAGCAAACACCGGGAGTCATTGGAAGTCGAAACGAACTTGTGTCTGAAGTTGAAACTTTGGTTTTAGCTTGGGGTCGACTAAATCTGGTCCATTTTTACCCAAAAAAGACACAGGTTTGCGCGTTCACTGCAAAAAAGATACTGTTTGTCGTATCGCCTCGGCTCGAAAGCATCTCCGTAACTGCCTCAGCCAGTATTGCAATCCTAGGCATCAAGATATCAGGCGAAGTATAGTTTCGCGGTCATTTGGAGGGTAAAATCAAATTGGCCTCAAAGAAGCTCGGTGTGCTGAACAGATCGAGGCAGTATTTCACTCCAGCCCATCGCCTCCAACTCTTTTAGGCGCAAGTCCGAGCGCATATGGAATACTGTTCTCATCTCTATGCAGGGGCACCACAGTACCAGCTTCTCCCTCTGGACCGTATCCAAAGAAGAACGACTGGTCGATAGCCAAAACTGCTGGACTGAGGTCTCGGGTTCGATTAACGGGTCGAACCAAATGTTTGGATGATCTGCAAATTTTGTTTCGGAGTTTGGGTGTTTTCTATGTTTTATATGTATGTATTTACAAAAAAAAGTATATACGTATTCTATCAGTCAATCTAGCTTTCATAGTATAAGCTCTGCTTAGTTTGAAACTAGATGGCGTTGTGTGTCAGATGTCCGGAAATTATTATTATTATATTATTTATATGGCGTCAACTGCGTCTTGCAAATTGCGTCAAATGACGCGCGAAATGTGAAAAAATAATTAGCACTACAGACACTATAAAACATGGGTGTAGTACTCTATTGAAAAGAGGTCTCATAAAATTGTCTCATAAAAAGTGTAATAGCCATAATATAGTGCTTAAGCTTCCGTAACATCAAAAATCAATAATATGTAGGGTCATTGCACCGGTTAGCGACCAGTTAGGTGGGTTGCTCACTTCAGACTATATAGTATAATACGAATATAGTATGTGTTAGTGAAAATTGGTCCATAGTAACATAAAAAAAAATACCCTTATTCATAAATTATTACAAAATGCTGAAAAAGTGCGAATATAGACAAAACGTCGGTTTACGGTCACTTTTAATAGTTTACGACCACAAGTCACTAGTAAAATATAAATTATTTGCGTTTTTTGGTTTCAATGGAAAGTTTCTGACCACCGGCTTCCACGAAGATTTCAGTGATGCAAAAACCAGGTTTGTCTTGGTCTATTCGGGATCTTTGAAGAGATTCTTCGTATCATGGTCACATCTCTTTCCACTAAGCCAATTAACACACATTATTATAATATTACAAATTATTTATTTATTTAAGTTTATTGGTTAACGACCACCTTTATGGTGGTAGGTAAATTTAACATTTTTTTTTATATAAACTGGTGGTTGCTTAATAAACAATTACATTTTTGCACTTTTTCAATGCTATACCCTAAATTGGAGAAGACCTGTACTAACATTTATAATCATTCTAAGCAAAACAAAATAATGCTGTATTCGTCGGACTTTTTTGACTACGTTTTTGACCAATTGTCACCTCGGTTACCGACCACGAGCTTTATTTAAATATTATCTATGAACATAGCAAAATATAACTAAATAATTTCATAAACCTAACGATTGCTCTAACTAAACACAGAACTTGCCCGTAAAGTTTGAAATAAGTACTTAAACTTGCCATTAAGCGCTGCGCGCTGTGCTATTTTCGTTTTTAAATCATCAATAAGCCACACCACTGTATCGTCTCGCATATTGACCATTTTTTTCATTTGTTTCAATTCCATTTGTTTCAAACTTTGCAAATTCTTATTTGATAACTGTTTGAAAAACGCATAAGACTTATTTTTGTTAGTGTTACTTCTAGAAATGCTATTCTAGAAGACGTCAGTCCTTTCATTATTTTCCAGAATTTATTTGGGTTTTTAGATATAACAGTTACTCTTAATGCATAAAAATATAGCATAAAAATATTTTCTAAGGACATCCTTAACTACCAAAAAGTTTCGACTCATTTCGTAAAGCAATGTAGGTTGTAATCTAGTTTGGTTACGCGTCACAGTTATTCTTCATAATGCGTTGTGGTCGTCTAATATGGTAGCAACAAAACGCTTTCTGTGATTGCCACAACGCATTTTCACGAGAAGAATATGAAATATTCATTATATAAGAAACTCACCGACTATTATAAAACCAAAGAAAGTCTAACGTTACCAATGTTAGCAACGGCAAAAGTTATCAAATAAACCCGCATAAAATAAACATAAGTCCATGTTCAAACTTTTTATGCATCCTTGATTAGTGTTATTGACCTTCGATGTGGAGGTACATGTATTGAACTAACGAATAGGGTAACAATTCTATTTATTAATCGGTTCTGCGTACTTTATCGTATGTTATGCTTTAAAAATATAAACAAATAAACTCACGAGTAGCACAATGCTAGCAGCCCGATAATGATACAACTCGCTTTCGCCATAGTGCCGTGTCGCGTTGTCGACCTCCTCTGACGAACTGCAGAGTGCTATACGCCTTGGATAAAAGTCAGTTATAGAAGTGCCTTAAGAACTTTGACGGGTTGATAACTCAAGTGCAGATGATATCTTGGAGATAATGCTGAATTTCATATTTATTGACAGGGGATTTAGTTGTAGCGTGAGATTAAACTTACCCTAGCAACGATAATAACACAGTTCAGTTATGTATAATAGGAAGTGTATTAAGTGTTAAGATTGAGGTCATCCGTGACTTGCAATTAAATTGCGTTCATTTACCCTTTAAAGACAACTAAGTCGGTATTGTACAGACACGTTACTGTTTTTTTTTGTTTTTATCTTAAACGTTCCTTAATAACTTACTTATTATATTTTTTTACAATTTTATGTTAAATAACCAAGATGCAAGTCATTGCATCTATTTGTTTACAATGAAATTACTATGAAGTAATTAAACTATAAAAGAACTATACCATACAAGAAGACAAGAAATAAATAAAAAGTGAATCAATCATCTGCTTCATAGATGAATATATTATATCTTCAAAATCGAAACTGGAATAAAAACTTTTAACTAACTAAACTAATTTGTATCCATAATTAATTAAGGATATACGGCTTTACTCACGAGTATGTAAAGCAATTGTTTTGTTTTAAAAAAATATCGCAATTAATAAAGGACAAAATGTTAGTGACAACCTAAAATTTGAAGACATTAAGCATTGAAGAAGTCCCACTGGATATAACCATTTAAATAAATATCGCAACGATAATATAAAGGGCAACTCAGGTCGCACAGCCCTAACGATCTATATTTGTATTCACCTAGAAAGTATAACTCTTTCCATCGTGTAGCTGTATTTCTGGTGTTACATTTCTTTATGTTTCGATGTTCTTTACAAGTGTGAAAAATGAATGTGACTTTCAGTTCCTCGTTATTATTTAAGGACACGAATACGCTTTAATATCCATATTATCTTTATTGCATTCAAGTCATAATTATCGGACGATGTGTGTGATCGGATAGCATGTGAGTTGAACTAACACGTGATTGGGCTAGCTTGTGGTAGCCCACTGAATTAAACCCGACAAATCGAGGCACCCACGTTCGGATCTAAAGTGCGTATTGGGCCTAGCCTGCCAGTATAAAAAACATCTTATGAAAACTTTGAATTGTTCTCCTGTAAAGTAACGTAATCGCTGCAGTCGAAAAACAACGATTTGTACACACGACTCGAACAGTGTAAAATATCTGTTACATTACGTTGCATTTTACATAAATTTACAAACATTTAAATGTTAGCTTGTTTAATTTTACACTTGTCATATTTTTAGTGCATTCTTCGAGACAAAAATAATTTTAATCATTGTTTTCATGTAAATGGTAGCGTTCAAAGTAGCTATTGTAAGTCTTGCAAGTATAAGCAAATTAAGGATATTTATTTACTGTACAAAACTCTTGATACTATACAAAACCAGAGTTACTAAACTATTGTTTAAATTCCAATTTTGTACAATGGTTTATAGGTTACTAGCTGACCCGGCAAACGTTGTTTTGCCATATACATTATTTCTAGGAAATATTGAAAAAAATAATTAAGGGGTATAAAAACCCTTGTCATTTAGGGGTGTAAAAACACTTGTCATTTAGGGGTATAAAAAATAGATGTTGGCCGATTCTCAGATCTACCCGATGTGCACTCAAAATTTCATAAAAATCGGTCCAGCCGTTTCGGAGGAGTATGGTAACTAACATTGTGACACGAGAATTTTATATATTAGATGTCAATTTTAAAGTTTTAAAATGAGGTCTCTATTTAATGTATCCCTATGTTCCGAAACTCAAAATATAAATTATATTACTGACCATATTTGATTTTGCCTTTGGAGACTGTCTTGCACAAGATTTATAAGCCTTATTTATCAGCACCCTTCATTTAGCCCGTCCATTTTACTTACAAATTCTTTAAAATTTGATAGGTTTTCATCTATGGGAATAGTCCACTATTGAACTTTAAACACTTTTCGCTTTGTTCTGAATTGCTTTCAGCAGATGTCTCATTCCAAACCTATTCAATATTACCTCCTCAAAGACCAGGGAGCAAAGAGTAAGGAACATGGCTTATGAAAAAGCAAATAATATTACTATGATTTTCATGAAACCTTTAGGTATATTCTGTATTTTTACGGTTTACTTATTTTCTTTTCGTAATAACGTGTTCTAACTATATAACTAGTAATTAGTTTTATAAGGTTAGGTTAATAATTTTAGTAAGTTTATAGCCCTGTAACGCAAGTTTACGTGCTGCGATAATTTAAATAGATATGTTTAATTGTTTATTTCAGCTCGTACTTGTAACTTGCGTTTCATACAAGTCCTCCATTGTACACTTTAAGTATTGCGTAATTTTCATTACGTTACATTTCATCTATCCCAAGGTGTGGGATATTGTTGGATAAAGATAGTATCTCCACCAACAAGCTAAAAAATCTGTTGAAAATATTATAAATATTAGTACATACAGTGTTTATAAAGAGAAAAGTATCATGGCTCTGTTAGTCTAAGAGTAATGATCGACCAACTTTTGAAATATACCAAATAGAAAAATAGATAGAAAAAACTACAAAGACGAATTTAATACAGGTTCAAAACGTGTAGTAACTTACTAAGGTACCCTACACTGCATCTGACCTGATAAGCACTTTGCCAGTTTAAAGTATTGTGTGACATAATAGCAATTTTTTAAATTTACTAGTAGTGTGAGGCTTTAATCCTCGCCCAGTTTCATGATTTTAGATTAATCCTATTCTCCCAGTACTCTATGGATTTTAGATATGCGCAGTGTCAAAGTTGGTAAAAACCGACGACGCACATAACCTTACGTTCTAATTGAGTTTTAGTTTTAGAAATTGATATTTTACAGCTTCAAGAAACCACAGACATAAGTATGCAATTTGGTGTCAACTTCACCTTGATACCTTCACGAGTTCCTGAGAAAAAGGAGCTTCACAGGTAGATAGACAGACGGAAAATGATGCTGTCATATGAGAGGGTTCCGTTTACTTCGTTTGAGACGCGAATTAATATTTTTTTATTATTTATATTATCTTTGCATACTAAAAATACACTATGCTGACTACATAAACTTTATAACTGATAACTTCTTTCGTTCGGCCTTTTTAAAATTAAAAAATAACCTCCTTCATGGCCAACATATTTGCCATATATTTTATAACCTAACCAAAATGTACGCTACATCTAAAATAAAATTATAAACACCCGAAAACAAACACAATGAGGATATTAAAATGGAAAATGTATATATAGATCGAAGTACAGCAAACATTCTGCAACCAGATACAAAAACTCCGTCTAAGCATATTATGAAACCATATCGACGATCAAACAAAGTATTTATGGTAGAGGTAAGATTGCAGTGTTGGATTATAAATATATTTCAGGATCCTTTATCTCTTTTAAGTCTCAAGTTATAGTACTATAATAAGGTATGGCACCTAAATCCGAGGGGTTCTTAGATATCAATAATAAGCAGTCAAGATTCCGAGTTCCGAGGTATATAGAAATACGGTGATTTCGATCAATTTCCAGTTATTTTTCCTTAACCTAAAAGTTACCTTATACAATTAATTAATTTATCTCTTACTGTTTATGTCAGCAAAACAATGTTATCTTGTATGTATGTTTAAAAATAATCGGTTACATTTTAAGACATAGAATGATACTTGGAACCTTGGACCTTAAAGTGAATGCAAGCTGCTTGAAACATATGACTTATAAACCGTTAGTACAAACCAAAGACTTGGGCCATTGAGTATGCGAATGGAGCATAATAGAAGGACTGCGTCGCAAGTCTTTATTTGCTGACGAGGCACGAGAACCAATGCTGCTGAAAGATGACGTGTGAGCAGCGATCAAACACTTTAAACGAATTAGACGGTAGACTTTGATGGAGTCCCGATTGAAACGAACAATGAAAAGAGGAGAGATATTCTGATCTTTTACCGATACGGGTCACCGGAGTTTTGTCGGGCGATTAGCCAGTTATTACAGACTAATTTTTCTTAACTATTCCCAGTCTTCAAGCTCCGAGCTAGCTGGTTTTGTAAATGTTCGCAGGTTAAGAGAACAGCTGCTTATTATGCGACAAATTGTGGAAAATGTCATTGAATTTAACATCACGCTCCACGTGTGCTTCAGTAACTTCAGGAAAGCATTCGATAGGATATATGAAAGAAATGTTAGGTACCGTTACACCTTGTGCACCTCATTAGATGCCTGAAGATATTACTACTGCCCGAGTCGGATATCAACTCTCCAAAACAAAACCGGCGTTAGACAGCTCACGGTGGTTTATTGTCTCTCCTTAATTATTTTGTATACAGAATATACTCGTATAATGCGGATAGTTCTTGAAGAGTGATCGAGTATCCAACTTAAAATATGCCGACGATACTACTTCTTTAACCAAAGTCAACCGAAGAAGTTTTCGAATTGCTTCTTCAGTGACCAGGGACTACAGCGTTGGAATTTTGATTTTCTGGTTAACAACGCGGCGTCCACCCGTGGACCACCCGTCGACAGCGAGTGGACGCGGTGGTGCTGGTCCGATGTCAGGCGGGTATAGTGAGCTATGACCTTTAGGTAGCGAGGTGGTCACTAGCTACATAGTATATCTTCTCGAATCTTAGAGGACGAAATTCGAATGAAGAAAATGATAAAACTGATAAAACTAAGGCAGAAACACAAAGGTCCGAGTTATAAGATGCTGGGTTTTCATATCTTCCTATATGGCGCTTAGAGATATGGACACTGAGGATAAAAGACTGTCGCAAGATTGACCCACTGGAATGTGGTGCTGGAGATATCTGTTCAAAATTTTGTGACCGCACATCGTACCAACCTTTCCACGTTGATAAAATTCAACATCAAAGAGAGATTATCGACAACCGTCCAAATACGAATCCTCAGTGTTTTCAGATCACCCGTAACGAGGACTCCATGGAACGGCTGGTGGTTAACGGGCAAGCTTGAGAATCCCTATTTCTTGATATTTACATATTATAATTGTATTAACGTAAGAAAAAAAAAGCCATTAGAAAAAGGTAAACGGAAGAGGATCAACATATCATTAATTACTAGCTTTAGCCCCCGCTTCGCCTGCGTGTATGTCTGTTATTGCGATAAAAAAAATAATTAAAAGATTATGTTACTCCCTGATAATGTAGCTTGCCATTGGTAAAATAATTTTTAAAATTTGACTTAGTGGTTTAGGCGTGAAAGCGTAACAAACAAACATACAAACTCACTTTCCATACACAATATAAGTATGGATTTAGAACCTAAAGTGCTATAGGATCGTTTTATTTATTTACAATTGCTGCATATATATTACATAATATAGCGGACTTACTGAAGCTGAGGCATTTTCTTCAGCCAGCTTTTGGGTGACACCTGTCAGGGTGCCAGGCGTCACTATATTTTAAACGAATTAAATACACATCTGTTAACCTATATTAAGCCTTAGTTAATTAGCCTACATACACTAACCATACATATACATACTTAACCTGTAAGTAGAAATGCGTATTATTTAAATATAAATATGAACATATGTATATATACGCATAATGTGTAAATAATAAAGGCAAAAGAAGAAAAAATACTTACCTATTTATAATTAAATAAAAATAAATAAAAACCAAAAATGGAGTTAGCTATTTGTGAAATTAGGTTATTATTCTTGTAACATGTACAAAAAGGCAAGGGAAATATTTAACGGTAATAATTTAATCCTTAAGATATTATGATGGTACAACGTTGAGTTAGGTGCCTTTACCTTGTGTTATGATGACCTTTCCGTTTGACTCTTTGCTGTACTTGACAAAGTTTTAAATGATTTTCCTGGTTGCTGTCAATTATCCTTCTACAATTACGGGTAATAACAAGTAAAGTAAGTTTATAATAAAAAAAATTACTTATTATTGAATAAATTATTGAACAGCGCTCATAAAATTTTGCCTGACAAAAGGGTGTAAAATTCGCATATACATAATATTTTTTACTATTTATAGGTTTCTTCTTATTTTGAAGTTTCTAAAGGACGTCTTAGGTAGAGGAAGCGATTTTACTTGATAAACTAATACAGTAAGCCTAGTATTCACTAGCAGAAACATTTGGGGTAAATTTAGTAAATTAAATGTTACCATAAATATTTATTATATGAAACTAATACGAATCAAGTCAAATCGTTAACATAATATTATGGTTTTGGTATATACTGAATTTGAATAATAAATTTATATATACAGAGTGGTACCAGAGTTACGACAAAGACTTAAATCACAGTTCAATATAAGTCGGTAAAATTAAAAAAAAAACAAAATCAAAAAATGCAAATTTAGAACAAAATAAATACAATAAAATAATGCCGAATTGGAGCACCATCGGTAACACGGGTCACTCACCTGTATACCACGATTTTTCAAAAATGGCGGCAGCATCAAAATAAGCCTAGCGACATGGCGGTGCGGCGACGCAACGGCGCGGGCGCTGCGTCGAGCCGCCGAATATTACATTCTTATCACTAATCAGTTACTGCACTTGCTTTTTATTTAAAATCACTATATCAATTTATTAAAATATGAATACCACTCGCAACAGTTTTTATTCACTAGATCAATATTTACTTAAAATTTTATTTAATAAATAGAATGGAATAAACTTAATTGTACACCAGTTTAGTACATCATACACACAACACTAATCAAATTAATTTAAATTTTTAGGTTTTCTTGTTCACATCAATGCATCGAATACATCTTCGCATCATGTTGCCTCGTATTATAGCACACAAGTTGTCATTTGCTGCTGAAGCTCTTATTTTATTAAATGCACTTAAAACTTAAAAGCGTTTTGATGGCATTCCCCGTAAATTAAGACCATGTCAGTATACTCCGGGGCTGTAAAGGCCACTCGCGGCATTATGAATGTTAATATCAATAAATCAATATAACTAAAACACTAGTAAGAAACCTAGTTTCACACATACACACACATACTCCACAACAAAACTAATATTGTTACTTTCAAAATAAAATTTAGTGGGACTCGTTGCAATACAACACAAAGTCTTGCTCCAACTGACCGCAGACCGACTGACGCTATTCTATTTTCTAGAATCAGTCAGTCAGTCATCGAATATTAAATAATTAAATCAAAGCTCGAAAAACATTATTAAAATAAGTTTGCCCGTAGTAATCATTACGTACTGTAAACAAAATATTTAATATGAACAATATAATTTACGCAGCCTAATAATATTAAAATACTTATTTATTAGCATATTTGGTTTATTATCAATATGTACAAAAAAGCGCGCAATTACGATGCATAATGCAATAGGTTGGTAGCGATGATCCTGATGACACAGTAACCAATTAGGTACATGCTTCTATTTTATTTTCGCCGACACTGATCAACACAAATTTCTGAACCTTGTTGTCAAACTCAGTATTTTCTTCCGTATGCCGTTGCAATATGTTTGATTTTACTTTGAAGAAATTCTTATTTTTAGCTTTTTATTAATTATTATGTCGTAACTTGTGCGATAACGTTTGTATAGCGACAGCGGCAAGGTCATTGACACTTAGTACTTTAGCTTTGCGTAAACATATGGTGTTGTAAATTACCAAATACAAAAATCAGTCCTGTGGCCAAACTACTGAATATATTTCGTTAATATTTTGCAAACCGTCTAGAAATAAAGTGTAGAATATGTGGCTCACATATTTGTTAAAGGAAATAACAGATACTGTAGATATAAAATGTTAAGTATTAAAAATGTACGAAAAGTTCTGCACTGATTCAGCTCAAAGTACAACCCGCATACAACCCGCTTCAAATATTGTTTTTATCTATTTGTCGAGTTAGTTTTGTCCCTCATTGTTTTCATCAATGTAACCACAATGTGCCACAGCGAAGCGTGACAGGGTACAGCAGGTCTACTATATTAACTAAGTATTATGTCCAACAGTTTCGTAGAGCGACAAGGCTGGGTCGTGTACGTGTACTAATCAGAGAGTTCGCAGGAGACGTCCGCTCTTTGTGGAAATATGGTGCACCGTTTCCTACCTTCTTAAAGCTCATCGGAACTCTGATCCTGTGTCTCATCGTTCTTCTACCACTTATATATCCATTTTTCATACTAATAATCACTTACTTTACCTATGAAAGCTTATATCTAAGGTAAGAAACAATTGTCTTCAATATTTTCATGTTTTCCGTATTAGATATTTTTTACTTCGTGGAATTCATACTATACCTGACTTCGGTTTTATCATGGTTTCTTATTATCGTCGCTCAAACCGAACACCAAGTCAACGCACCTCGACGACTTCTTCATTATATGATAACTGATGACATTCAACAGTCATTAGAAAACTACCTTGTTAGTTGATACGTGATAACATACAGACTGTATACCTTAACGGTACGCGTATACATTTCTAATTTTTAAAGGACCGTTTCTGAATTAGCTCAAATATTAATATGGACCTATTATTTAAAGATCTTACGCTAAGTACCATTAAAAATGAATTATATTGTATGATTATTACAATTCTAGCTAGACTATCCGAGACTATTATAGCTAACTAGCTGTAACACAATGTGTCGTTGTGCTGTTGGCAATGAGTAACTTCGAATCATACTGTTATTCAAACTACGGAGCACAGGGTTATTTAGGATTTTAGTATATATAATATGGATAGGATTTTGATATATACTGCGCATAATAATGTGTAGTTGTCTCTATTTTTGACGGGTAATTAGCAAATCAATTTTGTATAACTACAATTTTCCAGCTGGTATCGTGATCAACCGTGGCGGTTTCTACCAAGACCTATAGCTCGGCGAGCTCTTTCAGCTGCGTTTCATCCATCTGGACCACAAGACATCTGGAAAGTTCGCGAAGTTCTCACAAGAGGAATTCTACTTGCACACTCTCTGGCCACTTCTGTAGACTATCTTTGTGTAATGCAAGGGCTCTTAGATGAAACTTAAAACAGAAAAAACATATCAAAAGTCAAAGGAAGTCAATACTACTATACATACTACTAATTACTTACTTACAAAAAAAAAACGGTCACCCATCTTACTCCTTAATTGCAATAATACTACAGGAGGAGATGGAGGCCAAAAAATCTTTGTACCTATTAACCAAGAAAGCCATTCATATATATATAATTAATATTTTATTTCACTGTCTTTAATAAACAACACATCGTAAACCATCCATCATTTTATTTTTTAACAAAAGTTAAAAATCTACAATCACCTTTAATCTACTGCCATAAAAATGGTGTAATTTTTTATTCTGCACGTTCACTGCTCATGAATAGATAGTTTGTAGGCCATGAATGTTTAACAGACTCCCAAAAAAGGAGGAGCTCCTCAATTCGATTGTATATTTTTACGTTTGGAAAATCCCTCTTTTGTTTGGGTTTTATATGATTCTATTCCAATTTGAAGAAAAAAAACCACTTCACAACGTTTGTTACAATACATCAGGATTTAGGCACGTTGAAGTGGATAACACTTTTCAAAAGGTACTTACTTTTCTATAATACTTCATTAAAGTCACACATTTGCCAGCAGTAGTCTAACACAAATCGCGGTCTTACACGAGTCAGCGGCAGTCTCTCTAGAATTATTAACTTTACATTTGCTTGATTAAATAGGTTTAGTCAGGAACAATATGTATAGATGTCATGTAAGCATTGCCTTTTATCTGTACTTATGGGTGCATTCTCATATCATATGGGTTTATCGGTGAGTGGCAGTTACTATATCTTAATCAAAGGTGTCTTACGTGTACGATGGTTATGCGAGATAAAAACAGAATAAAAGACAGATAGAAACATCTCCAAGCAACCTGCCTAATTTTAAGATCGAATAACAACAACTCAAGTTGATAACAGTAAGTACTCGTGTATTTCAGATGTGGCGATATAATAGATTAACACCGGGGGGTTTAGATAAAAATACATTAAGTAGGTTTCTACTTTTTTATTTTAAGCTTTACCTAAGCATATCTCCATGCACTCTTTATATACATAGACGCACACTTCTTTTAAGCCATGTATTTTGTATTTTATTCATTTGCAATTAATATGGTATAAAAAGTAGTAGATACAATATAATTTGTCAAAGACATAATTTGACAGTAAAATAGGCATGCAATATGATCAATTTCACAAAAAAAACATGATAACAATATTACAATTAATTCAATAGTCACTATCCCATCAAGTGGGTGTCGTAAGAGTCGAAGGGACCAAACTACGCAGGACAACTTCACTGCAAAGAGAAGGAAAACTTGACACTAACCCGTCTGGTTAGCGTGGTGGTTTTTAAGGTGAGGTCTATGTCTAGCTGTGGACTGTTAAAGGCTGTTGATGTGATGAGGTTGCCTTTACTTATAGTAGTGAGGCTCAAAAGGGCTTTCGAGATCTACTTGAGCGTGTCAGATTAAGATAGGAGGAATATCTTACACTCAGTTGAGTAATGCCACCACACATGAGCCTTACTTATATAGGGGGGGGGGGGGGAGGGGGGGGGGGCGTCTTTTTTAGTTTTATTTTTTATGTGTGGAAACCCTCTCGAGCTGTCACCCCGCCGGGGTTTGCGGCAGGGTGGTGTGTCTGAATCGGACCGACTGAAACCACACGGTGTGCCACTTTGCGCCTGTGACAGGAGGGATCCGGAAACTGCTGTTATGCTTACAATGAGATGTCCTTAGGGATCAGTACTAGGTCCATAGTTGTGGAATATCGGCATCGACGATTTTCTTGCGATACCAATACCATCCGGATGTACTCTGAACGCGTATGCTGATGACGGCTTATTACTGGTGGAATCTGATACTAAGGCGGGGCTTGCGAGATTAGCCAATAACTGTTTGAACATGATATCTCAATGGGGTGAACTTAATCGCTTAACTTTTGCACCCAACAAAACCTTCCAGCTTTTAAAAGGTAACCTCAAATCACCGCAGAGCATTAAGTTTGACAATGTCACTGTAAAAAATAAAACCTCAGTGTGTTATTTCGGATTAGGTTTAGAAAGAAACTTCTCATTTATCGAACATATTAAAATAGTTAATGAAAAAGTCTAAAAATGTTTCTGTGCATTGACAAGGATATGAACTGCGACATGGGGTCTATCATTTAATACATAAAAGATCATATACGGAGCTACTGATTTAGGTTCTATGCAGGGGCGTGCGCTCCTTGTAGGCAGAAATGCAGTGCTTTACTTGCTATTCACAGACATTTTAATAAAACGTTCGTACGTTTTAGATGACTTTAATTAATAGTAAATAAATGAATAAACAAAATATAATAACTTAAAAACGCCTACTATTTTATAAATAGCACCTATTTGTCATTTGAAAGCACACAAACATTATGTTTGCCAGGCGTTTACCGACAAGCAAGCGGCGCTGTACCTACCAACCAACTCATGCCGAACCATGCCGCAGGAAATTTGTTCGCATGTGTGTAGTAATTTTAGTGTCCGTGCACAGTTCGCAAACGCACACACCCAAATATTTTATTTCCCCGCCTCCAGCCGCAGGCTACTAAAGTTCGGCAACTGTCGGGAGTAATCGGAAATGTTCGTTGCCTATAAATGGACTAAACACAATAGACAGAAATATAATAAATCATGTATGCGGATTATGAATTTTGAATATGGTAAGGTTTTATTTGTTTAATTAGCAGATATGTTTTGTGTTTCGCGGCCATATTGCTTTTTACATGTGATAAGCATTGTTTACTATTTTCTTTCCGCCAGTATAATTATAGTTTTATTTTTCATTTTAACATTTGAAAGTGTGTACATTTAACAGTTTACTACTGAGTTCCGTTGATTTTTTAAAAATGTTATTTGATTGTGAGGTATGTGTGGAAAATGTGTGTAACCAGGTGAGTAGTTATAATATAATATTTTAGCTTATTATTTTACTTATTAGAATTTCTTCCGCCGCGACGATCTATCGCTGTTTTGTCTGCGTTCCCGTTGAAGATGTACATGAATAGTAGTACATCTAAGACTTGTTCTGTTGGCATGGTTTCCGACTTAGAGATCTGTCGCGTCGCTGTGGCTATGCTAAAAATCTATAAAAGAAAATGTTTTTGTGACCGACTACTCCGCATACCTAGTCTCATAATCCTGTGCACGCCGCTGGTTCTATGTGCTATGGTGCACCTGTATGGGCCGATAGGGCGACCGTAGGCGCTATCCGTCGCAAACTGTTACAAGGCCAACGACTTGCACTGATATTCTTGTGCAAGGCATATAGGACGGTTAGCACTGAGGCTTTGCCAGTGTTGGCGGGTGTGCTTCCGGTCGATCTCGAGGTGCAGAGACTATTCAAGACAACAAAACATGGAATGCGATTATTTGGGCTCGCGGGATCTCGGTAAAATTACAAAATTGCTTCAACACAGTAGTTCGATGTCTGTAATGACCTTAAAGACGAATGGCAACAAGGCTGGGATGAATCATCCAAGGGGCGCCATCTTTACCAGTTCTTTCCATCTGTTCGCGAATGGTTGTCGAAGCATGGCTTGAGGTGGATCACTGTGTCGCTCAATTTCTTACGGGTCATGGTAACTTTAAGAGCAAGATGTATTCATTTAAATTAGTCGAGTCACCATTGTGTCAATGCTCAACACCTAACTCTCACTATGAACAGTCTGCTCATCATATCCTCTGGGAATGTAGTCTTTGGTATAATGAACGTAATATAATGCTGAATAGCTTGCAGGTGACATCTGGGGCGGTATACTATGAGGATCTTGTGTCAACTAGGGTGAATTTCCGTGCGTTTAGGCGATTCTGCCATACATATAATAGAAATCAAATATAGCTTACCTAGGACCCGTAATATTTTGTGGCCGTGGTGCTTCCCTGTTTAAAAGGGTGTATGCCTATTTTACTTCATTTTGTCTCCCGCTTTGCTAAGGAGGGAAGTGGATTTACTGTATTTCCAACTCCTCCAATTTTCTTCTGATTAATTTCGTTGCGGGTTCCAAGACTGTTTAATTCCTTCCTGGGACTTCCCGAGTGTCATAACTCGGTGTGTTCGTGGGTCACTGCTGTGGATCCTGGTGTACAAGAGTTACAGTGGTGGGCATGTGGGTGGGATTAGTCCCAAAAAAAAACTGCTGTTATTAAGACATCTAGACCCCTAGTGCCTGCTAGCAATGGCGCGGGTACCACCTTCGGGTAAATTCTACATTTGTGAGACATCCGGCACTCGCGGACGTCGCCTCCTCGCGGCTGGCCGTTGTGGTGGGTTGAGGGGAAAACCCGTCCTGTCCACCCGCGGCCACACTCAGGGCGGTGGTAAGTGCGCCTCCGCCGCACGATTCGCCGGCGACGAATTGGGTCCGAGTGGAGCTTGTCCTCCCGGGCTCTCTCCGCCTCCTCCTTGTGCAAGGGGGGATCGCCTAGGGCAGCCTATCAGATTAGTTATAAAAAGAAACATCGATGGCCAGAAATACTCCAAAATATCTACACCCGAATATTTTTATTTCGATTTCCTCCCCTTACATTTTTGAAAAGCTTTTCCCACCGCTGGAAGTGGAAACATTTTAAAACTTTTATTCAGTCCATGACCTAATCTTTCAAATGCAATAGGTCCCCATGACGCTCGATTAAATCCCCATTCCGCGTCATGGGCTCCCCTACTATTATACTATATAAACTAATAAGTTTACTATCCTCGTGAGGGTGGGTTGGTGGTGCTCTTGTCTTACCGTCAAGGCAGGACGCCTCCGGCAGGAGGGTGGTCGCTATCTATTGGTTTTCCGTAATATGTTTATTTCAGTGTGCACTCCAGTGCCTGTTAGAATCAACCCAGCAACACAAGGCATAGAAAATCCATACTTTTTAGACAGGAGGCAATGATTTGTGACTCCACACACAGGCGCAGTAAGTCGCTTTAGGCCTTGACAAAGGAACTCAGTCAAACCCAGAACTAGTTGACCTTCGCA